ATGTATTATATATGTATTATATATGTAATGACCTAATGTAGTGTTCACAAATGTAAGTATGTATTATATATGTATTATATATGTAATGACCTAATGTAGTGTTCACAAATGTAAGTATGTATTATATATGTAATGACCTAATGTAGTGTTCACAAATGTAAGTATGTATTATATATGTATTATATATGTATTATATATGTATTATATATGTAATGACCTAATGTAGTGTTCACAAATGTAAGTATGTATTATATATGTATTATATATGTAATGACCTAATGTAGTGTTCACAAATGTAAGTATGCAATGTATGTATTATATATGTAATGACCGAATGTAGTGTACAAATATATTTAACAGGGGTTGAAATTAACTTGCGAACAAGGGCAACGGGACTCCCTGCCCTCAAAAAGAGGGAGTTCGCAGCAAAATGAGGGAGTCCGCAGTCTGAAGTTCAAAACTAAAGATATTAACAATAATGCATGTGCTTATTTTGAAGATTCATGCAGTTGCACGTCTGCCAAATTTTTTATTTGGACATTTGCTGAAAAAATTCGGTAATTCCGCGAGGCCGTGCTCTGGTACAAGCTAGTTAGTGTGGCAGAATTTTCAGGGAGTCACACGGACTGCTACACATAACATGTCAAATCAGGGAGTCCGACAGTAAACCAGGGAGTATTTGACTATGTATGTACTCCCTGATTTATTGTATAATATAAGTAATATATGTAACGATGTAATGTAGTGTACAAATATATTTAATGTATAATATAAGTATATAAGTGTACAAATGTAAGCATGTAATGTAATGTATGCAAAAAGTACACACAGTATGTAAGTGTAGTGTTCGCAACTACACTAACTACGCTACACTAACGCCTAACCTACAGCAACTTAAAAAGTACTGTACTTAGAAAGCAAGCTACACTATCGCATGAAAGGACATTGCCGATCACATGCCGGTGGGAAGGTGAATGCTACCACCTGCGATCACGGTTCCGCAGAGATCTCAAAGAGATGTTAACGTCGCATTGCGATTACAGTGGTTGCTTACTTCACCGATTACTGCACGGTGAAATTATACGTTTACATCGCGACACGGGGGAATCGTGGCTCCAGGCAGACATGCAACTCTTGCGTGTAGATTTAACGATCTAAATGTTATCGAGCAAACATTTATACATGATGACGTCAATATAAACAGTGACGAAGCAGCAGCAGCAGCAGCTACTGCTGTTGTTACTAGTGGTGCTGCTGTTGGTGCTACTGCTGCTACTGTTGGTACTACTGCTACTGCTGCTACTGT